AAAAAAAAAATAAAAAATAAAAAAAAAAAAGATATATTAGCTTTTACCATCTTAAAAGTCCAGAGCATCATCAGGCTGCAGGCAAGGCTGAATCCAGTTCCTCAAATGATGTCTTCAGGGAACTGTCTCCCCATCTCCACCTCCAGGATCTGCTGTACTTGGTCTTGTCCTATCTGTATCCCTCAGTCCCTGACCTATTGTGTGGGTCCCAGACTTGCGTGGTAGCCACCGCCCATCTTGAGTGATCCTGGCCTTCCTCCTACTCCCTACCTATTACCCTGATCATGTTAAGGGACCAGAAAACACCCAATTTCCCAAGGAAAAGGGAAAGAAACTTGGAATTTATCCTAGACCTCTTCATGAGCCCCCATATCTAATAGATCATAAAACCAAGTCATTTCTACCCCATTTGTGTCTTTGGAATTGGTTACTTCTTTCCATGGCCCTTGTCACTGTGCTTTGTCATGTACTCAGAAGAGGAAAGTTTCTCCCAAACCAGTCTTTGCTCTGTACCTTACAAACCATCCTTCATGCCTAGAATAGCCTATTAAAGTGTAAAACCTGAGTCTAGCATTCCCTGCTTAAACTATTTGGTTATGTAACTTGTAAAACCTGTTCCACAAATTTGGTGATTTGCCCAGTTGATCACTTGAACCCCCTCAGCTACCCTGGTGGGAGACAGCCTACTTCTCTTAGTTTGGGTTCCCTAGAAACAGAGCCCAAGCTGGGATCAGCATTCATTGTTATTTCAGGAACCTCACTGCTCCCTGCCAGTGGGCTGTGGGTAGGCCCATTCTAATCCACCCTGCCTGGCCTGCCTAGCTAGATTACAGTGTTTGGGGGAAGGAGATTGGCGATTGGCCTCCCAAGAGGCCCAGGGCTCCTCATGCAAATTGCTTTTACCTAGTGACAAGCTCTACCTGCCTGGGGTCTCAGATGGGGGCCTTCACCCAGTCACAAAACATCCTTTTATGCCAGGGGTCAAAAGCTCAAATGCCTCCGGGAGCCAAAAACCTGACAAACAGGGCAGCTTCTACTCAGCAACCATCCACGGTTACCCAGCAGAAATCTGGCACTCACAGTTGCTAAGTCTTTAATTTTTTTCAGGAGGAGCCAAAAATATTGAGTTTTATGTAAAATATTCCGGTTTTAAGCTGTTAGCTTGATAAAAAAAAAAAAAAAAAAAAAAAAAAACCAGGCACAACAAAACTTGTCTGGGGCCTTATCTGGCCTAGGAGCTGTCAGTTTGTGAATTCTGTTTGCTGCCCTAATCCCAGAACAATGGATGCCCACTTGCCCCACATTTGCATAACTTTGGGAGCCAATGCTGAGATCTGTGACTAGACAAAGATCAACTGTGAACCGGCCACAAACGTTCCATGACTTCAAAATAAAGGGTAACCTTCTTCAGCAAGGCCTGTGTGACCTCCCTGGCCTGGCTTCTGCCCTTCCCCACCCTTTCCCGCACCTCCTTCCCCCTTCCCCAACGTTTGTTTCACACCTAGGGCCTTGGTGGTAACCCGGTTCTTTATCCTGGAGATCCCTCCCCTTCCAGTTATCTAAGGGCACTCCCACCATCCTTCTTGGATCCTTTCCCTGACCCCTGCTTTCTCTTCTGCCTACTTCATTTTTCAAAACGGTTGCCTCGTGGAGTCATGTGTTCTTTACATGTCGTGGCCCCAGCTGACTGAATCCCTGGAGGGCAGGAGCCTGGGTTTCTTCACCTCTGTATCCCTATTGCCTCATAGAGCCCTGGTGCTTTCAACGCAGACTGGAGCAATGGGTATCCAATGCAAAAATTACCATGACCTTGACCATTGCCCTTCACGTGTCAGAAATCCATTAGTGAAGAACTGGCCATTTTTATGTTAAGAGATTAAGCTGATATTTGGCATTTATGAGAGGAAGAAAACTTGCTGAATCCTTTAATTTTTAAAATGACTACCTATTTATGAAAAACAGTTGGAAAAAAATACGTTTTAAAACTCAGCTTTGGACCTCGCTGAAGCTTCCAAGGGGTTCTGGAACTAGAGAATGACTACAGTGACCAGCATTCGCTTTTCTAGAGACCCTCAAGGGTCCTCAGGGCTCATCTTAAAGTAGGGGATGAGAGGGGAGGGAGGATGTGTGCTGCCTCCCTCGGAGGGCAGGAACCAGCTCCTCTGAATGAAACAGCACTTTCCACAGAGACAGCGGCCTAGGGTGTGGGGCGCGCAAGCCACAGTCGAAAGCCCCTTTGCATAATCCATTCTTAAATTGACTGAGGCTTGTACAGTTGTAAACTGAAACTCCAGAGGCACACCTCGAGTGGTTACATTTTCTCGAAAAGAATGTTTCCCAGCCTGTCAATGATTTCCTGCTCTCCGACCCTCCCCAACGCGCGCACACACCCAACTTTTGGTAGCCCGCTGCCTTGACATTGAGCCTCTCTCCTACCTGAAGTGGAGCAACCTCAGGGAAGCAGCGAGGCTGGCGTTTCATTCATAATACATGAACTCAGGGGAGGAGGGAGGCGGGGGCAGGGGCCTTTCATTTCTGCTATTTAAAATCCCGGCATTGCAGCTGAAAGAGAAAACGACCTGGGAGTGAACGGCACTGGGCATGAAGCATTGCACGATAACGGCACAACCGAGCGCGTCAGCTGCCCGCCCGCCGGCTATTTATACCGCGCAGATTATGCAATCGGGCTCCAGCCATTCATGCCCGGACTGGGCCGCCGCACGCCCGGGGCGGGGGGGGCCTCATTCCCGGGCGCCGGGTCAGTTTCTAAGTTTGCATCATCCCCTGCATTACGAGAGAGCTTGGGTTTCCATTCCTGCCAGCGGGGCTTGGGGGAGACAGCTGGGCTACAAACTCACTTGGCACACACGACTGCTTACTTAAACATCATAATAAAGGCTCCAGATCGCCCGAGGCGCGGCCGGGCCGCTTGCAGGGCTGGGCTCGGGGAGACCGGAAGGAACTGATAAACTGAGCGCTAATGACACCCCTCCCTCCCGCGTCGGAAGTGTCCTCGGAGCGCCGGTCATTGAGAAATACCGAAGGGGCTGAGTGGGGGTGAGGCGAGGACAGGCCTGAGCGCAGCTGCGCGCGCCTAGCGGGGCGGGGAGCGGGGGCGCCACGGCAGCGGGGGGCTTCTGCGGGCCGGGCGGTGGCGGGGCGGCGCGAACCTTCCGGCCCCGTGGAGTCCTCCCTAAATCACCCCCTCCCCGCCCCTGGGAAGGGGGAGGGCGAGTGACTGCTCAGATCCCACCCCGCCCCTGGGGAAGTCTACACTCCCGGCCCTACCGGACCCGGACGGACGAGAGGGGGCGAAGGACACGAACGAGAGAGCGGATTGCAGAAGAGACTAAAATGTCCGCTTCTTCTGGCGCCCGAGCCTGGCGGGAGGGGTGGGGGCCGCGGCTGGCTTCCCGGTGAAACAGGACCTGCAGGGCTACTGAGCATGCCCGTCCCCGGCCGCGGAGGGTCGCTCCGGCTCCGCGCTCCGGGCTTTCCGGGCGGCCCGCGGGAAGGGCCCGGGTGGGGGTTCTCCCCCGCCCTGGACTCGGAACTGAGAGGCCTGTAGGTGGGGGACCTGCTGGGGGCCCCCGCTGGCTTTGCGTGAAGTTGTGAGCAGATCGATATTACTCTTGAATCTTTACGATCCTACTCTGACTGAACACTATTGATTTGATCGCGTTCAGAACTTCCCACCCCCTCCTCCCCGTTCTGCGGGTTGCGGGGAGAGACAGCGATGTGGGTCCTTAGTTCTTTCAGCAGTGACAGTCAATTAAAGCCCTAAATCCGCGATATCCCCTATTGCAGCAACAATGCAATGGACTTTGATAAAACCCTGATGTTCAGATCAACAGACATATCTGAGTTATTCGCCCAATATCCTCATTTATTCTGTGGAGCTGCAGGAGTCAGACTTGCCTCAACCACAGTAATTGATGCGGAGGACCAAGAGGTGACCTGCTAGTAATGTTTCTATCAAAAGGCCCCTTTTGGATGATGAACAAGGCAGAAGAGAACTAGCAGGCTTTATTGAAAGGAACATGAAGAACAGAGTGGAGGCGAGCATTTAGTAAACTAGCTGGCCAAGAATGGAAAGGGCTACCTGGAATCTGCATGTGGTGTGCTTAATACAGTGCCTTCACTGTATAGCCCATTTAAGATTCTCAGCAACCCTATGTTGTGGGTATTATTCCGATACAACAGACACTGAACTCAAGACTTAGAGGACCTGCCTGAGATAGCCCAGCTGGAGTCTGGCACCAGGTGATCCCAGTGGGGACTTGGGGACTTCTGGACCTTAGAATGTTTACTATTGTTCCCTTGGCAACCTGGTCCATAGGCTGGGCCAGTCGTTCACTGCTATTGGCAGAGAGCTGGCTGAGTGAGTGGTGATGACACCAATTTAGCCTGCTCATAGAGCTGGCCTACCTGCAAAAATTAATAATCACCTCACCTGCCACCTTGCTATTTGCATACCTTGAAACTAGGTGGAGGGTGGAGTCCAAGAGAGGCCCATAGGGTGGATAATTTTGACATGGGTAAGTGCTTGTGTTTTGGGAAGCTCAGGAATAACAGGATGGGATCTCTCACAGCACTCCCAGGGAGAAGAGCAACCATGGCCAAAGGTGAGAACTGGGTGGACTCCTTAGCCTTCTAGGGATTTAGAGGACAATGAGATCTTGCCTTTGGTTAGTACTTTGGTCTTGATATTCCTGTTTTATAAGAAAACTCTTTCGGGGTCTCAGGGTTGCTAGGAGAAAACCAGAACCTGTGTGTTCCATCCCGTTTCATGCCCTCCCCACCACCACACATCACCAACGTGAACCCCACTCCATGTCCACAGAGATCATGGCTGCGATAAGCACAAAGCCTTGAGTAAATCACCAGTTTCTCCCTGACTCAAGGTGAAATGCTTTGGAGCACTTGTGGCTCCTATATGCATGTAAATTTTAGGAATACTAAATTGAGGCATTTATTTATTTATTTTGTGACGGAATTGGAATTTCACTCTCTTTGCCCAGGCTGGAGTGCAATGGCGCGATCTTGGCTCACTGCAGTCTCCCCCTCACGGGTTCAAGCAATTCTCCTGCCTCAGCCTACCGAGTAGCTGGAATTACAGGCTTCCACCACCACACCCAACTAATTCTTGTATTTTTAATAGAGACAGGGTTTTGCCATGTTAGCCAGGCTGGTCTCAAACTCCTGACCTCAGGTGATCTGCCTGCCTCGGCCTTTCAAAGTGCTGGGATAACAGGCGTGAGCCACCGCGCCCGGCCGCGGCTGCCTCTTAACCCGAGAAATTCCGTAATTGCTGCGGAAATGCAAACGTTTTTGGGCAAGCTGCACGTGAAACAGAAAAGCCTCTGCCATTCAGAATCTTGGCAAAGTCGAACCCCCTCCCTTTCTGGTTAGGTTGGGTTGGAGAAGCCAGCCCCTGGCACCTGCGCCGCTCCTACTTTCCCACCCTGCGGTGGGGGGTAGTTGTTCCTTAGAGCCTGAGCACCCTTTCAGCTGTTTCACTCCCTCCCCTCCCATCTCCGCCCCCGCCCAACCCCCCGATTTTTAATCCTGGGGTTTGGAAGGAGGGAGGGGACAAAAACGGGAGCCAGATGTGTATCAGTCCTCGGCTCCCGCCTCCTCCCTCCTCTCGGGCTTCCTAAAACCCGGAGCCCTAACCAAGGAGGATTCGGAGCCAGACGGTCACGGCGCAAGCAAACAACTCGGCTTGGCGGCTCCCCCGGGAGTGGAAGCCGGTAGGGAGGGGGAGAGGAAGCCGGGCGTGCTCAGTAGGCGGGACAAAGTTTTTTTTTTTTCTCCCCCTTTTTTTTTTTCGGTCGCAAGTAGGAAGCTTTTTGCACTCCACCACCTCTGGCCGCTGGGAAGACGTCATCGCTTCCGCCCTACTTCCTCCTCCTGTTGGCGGCGGTGAGAATCCAATATGGAGTAAATCGGTGGAGTCGAGAGATGGGGCTCGGACGGGGCGCCCTGCACCGCCTCCCAGGCGCACCTCCCCCGGCCGCCGACCGCTCCCCGGAACCGTGATTGGCCAGGCCTCCCGGGGGCGACACCGGACCGAGCCCCGACCCGCGGCCGGCGCTCTCCTCCTCCTCTCAGCAGTCCCCGCCGCTCCGAGGCGCGCTTGTTTTTCTCCTGCTCTCCCCCCACCACCGTCCCCTTCCCAAATCTCGCCCCCTCCGCCTGCTCCCGAGCCCCCGGAGCCCCCGCCCGCCTCGCCTCTCGGCGCTGCGGCGTTCACTCCCCGCGCAGCCTGCCTTTGCACCCCTTCCCCCAAACCTCACCCCGCGCCTTGCTTCCCCTCCTGCCTGCGGCGCCCCCTTCATCTCCAGCCGCCCCCCCTCCCCAAATCAGGCGATCTCCGGAGATGTGAAGAAGGGGGGCGAGCAGACAGGAAGATGAAGGGAGCAAAGCTGCCCGCCGCGGGACAGGCGTCTAGGTGAACAAGAAAATGACCGAAGAAACACACCCGGACGAGTAAGTTTGGTCGCGGGGTGGGACGAGGGTGCCCCACGGGGGCGTGGGGGCCGGGGCTGAGGATGCGGGCGGGGACGCTTATTGGGTGAACTTGTCGTGGGGTGCAGCGACTCCCTGACCTGTCAGGGTTGGGACGCGAGGCTTCCATGCTTGTTGAAGTGAGGAGGGGGCCAAAACTGCCGCGGGCTGGCGGGCGCACGCCTAGGGTCGGCGGGCTGGTGGCCGCTGCGGGGGCCAAGGGCGCGCGGGTGACCTCGGGGCGGTCCCTGCTCCCTCTCTGAGGACTCACAGCCCCCACGCCCCCGAAATCCTCGGCGGCTGGAGCGGAAGACCTGACACCCCCACTCCAGCTTCCCGGGGCCGGTGGGTTTTGCACGGTGACTTTGTGACTCCCGCCGCGCCGCGAGCACCGCAGTCCGCTCCGGAGCCCACTGGGGCCTAGGCTCCGCCATTTCGTTTTCTTGAATCGCTCTCATTTGCATACCACATTTTCATTCATAAAAAACACGACGGAGCGAGAGGAGGACAGGCGCGGGCTGCGCGGGGGTCTGGTGCGCTAGGGTCCCCGCGCGGGCCGGCGTGCTAGAGCCGCCCGAGGGGCCCCGCGGCGCGTGAGTGCCTGTGCACGCGCTTGTGGCCCGCACCCGCGCCCCGCGGGGTCCGGCTGCTCGGGGCGGACCGTAGCGTGTGCGGCGGGGGCGTGCGGGGCAGCGCGCTGGGGGCCAGTGTGTGTGTGACCTCGCGGGTGCGCGTGCACGGGCTTGTGCCCGGCCCGCGGGCCCGAGGGAAACAATGCTCCGGGCGCTCAGCCGGAGCGCTCTCGGGCCGCCCCGCATGGGACCTGTGCCTGTGGCCAGACCCGGGCGGAGGTGCAGCTGCCTCCTGCCTCGCGGTCCACTGGTCCGGTTTGGGGTTTTCCCTCCGGGGTCCGAGGCGTTTACAGTCTCGGGTGCGACGGGGGCGGGGCTGTGGGGTCCGGTGCCTTAGGTCTTCTGCCTGGAGTCCGAGCGGTCACCGCGCGGCAGCCGCCGCTGCAGCTCAGTGGCTGTGCCCGCCACCAACCACTTTTTTTTTTTTTTTGTGAATAAGACGCTCTCCTTTATTGTCACATGATATCCCTCCCCTCCTCCCCTGCACATTCATAAATTCGCAGCCTGCATCGGCTCCTTTCATTCAGTGCTGCCATTAGCCAAGGTAGCGGCGGCGCGGGCTTGGGCGCTAAGAGCCAGTTGGCGGCAGCGGGGACGCGCCCTGGAGGGAGGCCCCGCTCGTGTCTTTGCAGGGGAGAGCAGGCTGTGGGAGGCGTGCTCCTGAGGCCCCAGCTCTTTTGCCCCCTCCCCCCCCCCCCCGCCACCCCATGCGCAAGCATTGAGACTCAAGAGTGAAGGGAGGGGAAGTGACTCAGGGTTGGGCGACAGGGAGGCTTGTCTCTTGCAGCAGGTGACAGTGCTATGCTC